GGCAACGGATAATCCTAAAAGGATTTACCAATGGAATTTGGATTGGTTTGGATTGGTAATTCATGGTACAGAAACACAATTCAGACCAATTCAAACCAATCGCTATTTTTTTATTGGTCTTTATTGGTCATTTACAACAGGAAAGTCACCAGCAGTACTCGCTAAATTGCCCCTGCCTTAATACATTTTCGTACCAAAAAGTCCGAAGTGTGACATGCATCTCCAAAACGAAAAATCCACTTCTTAATAATGGCATCGGCCACTGTGGCAGCTTCCTGGTTTGACAGGGCTTACGCTTTCCTGATTCTGTTTTCGGAAAAGCCCACGTTGTACTGTCGCATTAGAGCTTTTGGGTGCTTCTGGGATCCAATGTTGCTGCGCAAACGGCGCACTTCTTGCACCATTCCCTTATATCTCATTGACAGTTCACCCAATAAAACCATTCCCTAAGTCTTCCGAGCGTCCTCGTCGCCCCAAGATGTCCTCCAGTAGTTTTATTATGGATTTTCTGCAGCACTTTTTGTATCCTATTTCTGAGAATTATTATCTACATCTGGTCTTCCCCCCACCCTTCTGGAGTCCCCAGTACGATTTCACATTTGGCGAATATTGGGCGACTTCTTGCCACGTTGGTTTGCGGTTATTTTTCTTCCAGTCTTTAAATCCGGGTCCCCTTCCTGGTCTTGTTAAACCTTAGCGGATTGCCAATGATCATCCACGAGTGTTCCTTGGCCCTGAGGCAATGTTTACAGTCTTCCGAGTATGATCTTCTTCCCTGCTTAAAATACCCCATAGAGACCTATATAAAATAATCTATCGGGCGCTACCGGATTCAATATGTGCATTCCGGATACGTCCCGATAGAAAATGTATAGGAAATTACCTATAGGCACACCATGACTTTTACATTTTCCCTATTGAGACCGATAGCAAATAACTCAATGAAGGATATATAGGGATATCCCTATAGAACAACCATAAAACATTTGACAAAATTTTATTAAAAGCTATGGGGTCCTATGGGGGAAAACTAATTCCTATATTTATGTGTATTTTTACCATTGAAACCAATAGCAAATAAATCAAGGGTGGATATCCCTATAGAACAACCATAAATCCCAACTATGGGTCCTATACATACCGATACACCCTAAAGAAACACCATACATTCCGATACAAATATCTATCGGTTTGAACAGTCTCTATGGTGTATTTTAAGCAGGGTTGTCAAGGCGTCAGCATTTCTGTGAATGGTCCCAGCCTGATCTTCTGTGTCAAAGTCGAACTCCTGTAGTCTCTCAGTCTATCTTGCTACTTGTCCTTCGGGTTTATTAAATTGCAACAGTCATTTTAGAGCAGCATGGTAAAAGTGTTCTGATTTTACCACTGCCAACAACTCTCGTCGAGTAACGCAGTAATTACGTTCTGGTTTGGATAAATTTTTACTGAAGTATCCAATAACTTTCTCGTTTTCCTCTTGAATCTGCGACAAAACAGCTCCTTGTCCCACGTTGCTGGCGTCCGTGTACAAAATTAATCCACCATCCGGAAGAGGATAGCTTAGGACTGGTAAACTGGACCTCAAAGGCTTCTTGGCACTTGTCATCCCATTGTAATCGTTCCTATCCATCTGTCGAAGGTGTTTTAGCCATTCCCGCATCGTCTTTACTTTTTGTTTGTCCTTGACGTGAAAGTGGGAGGAGCTACGCAAAATCGTACGAAAGTTTACAAAAGCGTATTCTCGAAACAAGGGATTGATCATTTGTGATTTTTTCGGGCGAAGTGAACATTGCTTGGTGGGAAGTAGACAAACGTGTGAATATTAGACAATCGCCACATAAATATAACCTTAAAAGTAAATGCCATATTAAAGTGTCTTATTTGTTATTTTTAAACAATAAATTTTGACGAAATTGTATTAAACAATTTTATAAATTATCTTGAAGATGCAGAAGAACAAAATTGATAAATAACACGATTGTAACAATAGGTTGGTAAGTCAAATTTGATCGAGATGAAATTTAAAACGATCCGTGCACTTGCCAACGAATTTGATTGGCTACGAAATGCGACAACGCCGCAAAATGTTTCTCCCATCACATACTTTCGAGAATACGACTTTTCGGTATCATTCGATGACGGTTGGATGTGAAATATCCCATCACCGATGTGATCTTTCGCTTCGCTTATTTTGGAGTAGGTATAGCGCCCCAGATACTGCACTTTCCTCTAGAACAAGTGACATTTCTACGGGCTTAGCTTTAGGCCGGAAGTTCTAGAAGATCTTAAACGCTAAAAAACCTCCTTCAGGTTCCTCATATGGTCCTTAAACGATTGCCCAACCAAAATGATGTTGTTAAGGTACACCAAGCATGTCTTCCAAGATAGTCCCTTAGAAACCATTTTTATAAGCCTTTCAACAGTTGCAGGTGCATTACATAGTCCAAACTGCATGGACGGTAAACTGCCACCGTCCTAGACCCACGTTAAATGCGGTCTTTTCTTTATCTTCTGGTGTCATTTCAACCTGCCAGTAAACGCTCTTCAGATCCAAAGTCAAAAATACATATGATCCAGCCAATGTGTCCAGGGTGTAATCGATCCTGTCCTTCGTCACGTTGTTTAGCTGACGAAAATAGACGCAAAATCGAGTTGATCCATCCTTTTTCTTAACCAATATTACTGGGGAAGACACTGGACTGTTGGATGGTTCGATTACCCCTTCCTTTTCCATTTCTTGCACAATCTTATCAGATTCATTTTGCTTGGCAAGTGGCAGCCTTCTTGCCGACTGTCGAATAGGTTGTGCATTACCGGTGTTAATTTTATGCTGGACAGTTTTTGTCCTACCCTTCTTTATCTTTTTTTAACTGTCTCAGCTTATACTCTTATAGGATCTTCTTTTCCGACATGTATTCCCTACTATAATTCCTTGACCCACCTCGTTGTCATCATTTTCGGCTCAAGCATCATTATACTTCCATCTTCTGATTTAGGGTCCAAGAAAGCCTTTAATATTTTCTCGCTGTTAGCATTACACAAATCGTCTTCTCTTTCGATCGATTCATTCACCCATTTCTTGTTAAAGGTTCAGTTCAAATCCTATAGAGTTCACAATATCCATTCCTACAATGCTCGATGTTTAAATTTCGCGTTTTATATGACCATCGTGATGTCCAATTCTTCACGAATAATAGCGGTATCTCCTGTTGCGGTACGTAGTCGCCGATTGGCACGTGTATCCAGCAGCAGCACATGCAATTTTCCATAAAAACGCTGCTGGACCGGTGTAGAAGAGATGCGACACGTTCAATATCTTCTAGGGCATGCTTGTAACAGGTCGACGATGGCTCCTTTTTATCGACCCTTTTTAATTTTCCGACTGAGACAAAGTCGGCGCCACCTGGCTTCTCTGCAACGACTTCGTATATGTCCTAGCTTTCCACATCTCCAACACCGGATTTCATTTTTCTCTAATAGGTTATCTTTAAAAACTCGCCTGACTGCTTCAATTATACTTTGTTCTTCCTCTTTCTTTTCCTCGACTCTCGTAATTCTAGACTGGCTCCTGCAGCTCTGCTTTGCCGCCTCGAATTACAAATCTCGAGCAAATGCATCAACCAATTGGCTCGGAAGAGCCAATGTTAGAGCCTGTCTTGTTTCATTGTCCCGAAGTCCATCCAAAAAGGATTAAACAGCTACACATTCCATAAAGATCGTTAAAGTAGCTGGATATGCTAGCCGGACCAAGCGTACAATATCAGCCCAAGTTTTTCCATCGAACTGAGGTGGTTTTATTCGAAATCGGCTCCCCTCCGGCAATTTTTCTTCCTTGCTTAAAATACCCCATAGAGACCTATATAAAATAATCTATCGGGCGCTACCGGATTCAATATGTGCATTTGTCCATGGTTTTCTCCGGATACGGCCCGATAGAAAATTTATAGGAAATTACCTATGGGCACACCATAACTTTTACATTTTCCCTATTGAGATCGATAGCAAATAACTCAATGAAGGATATATAGGGATATCCCTATAGAACAACCATAAAACAATTGACAACATTTTATTAAAACCTATGGGGTCCTATGGGGGAAAACTAATTTCTAAATTTATGTGTATTTTTCCTATTGAAAATAGAGTAGTCAAACCTGCTTAAAATACCCCATAGATATCTATACAAAATAATCTATCGGGCGCTACCGGATTCAATATGTGCATTTGTCCATGGATTTTTCCGGATACGGCCCGATAGAAAATGTATAGAAAATTACCCATAGGCATACCATAACTTTTACATTTTCCCTATTGAGACCGATAGCAAATAACTCAATGAAGGATATATAGGGATATCACTATAGAGCAACCATAAAACATTTTACAAAATTTTATTAAACCTATTGGGTCCTATGGGGAAAACTAATTTCTACATTTATGTGTATTTTCCCCATTGAAACCAATAGCAAATAAATCAAGGGTGGATATCCCTATAGAACAACCATAAATCCCAACTATGGGTCCTATACATACCGATACACCCTATAGAAGAACCATACATTTCGACAAGGGCGTATCCAGCTCAAAAGGAAAGGGGGGCAAACTCGACATCTTTCATAAGACGGGGACGGGGACGGGGACGAGGGTAAAATGATACATAAAAATAACAAATTAACAAAAAAAACATCGTTTGCGTTTATTGGAAAAGCCTATTTTTTAAACAATAATTTGCGTGGATTGCTTGCAAATCTATTAACTACATCTTGCGCTAATCGCTCCTTGTTTGCGAAAACCCTCTGACGATGAATACTAAGCATAGCTAACCCATTCAACCTATTTTTACCAATAGTGTTCCTTAGCCATGTTTTAATTCTACGAAGAGAGCTAAATGAACACTCGAGTGCACAAGAGCCTTTCTAATTGCTGGAAAGAACATTTCGCTCTTTTTTAAAATCTCAGTGTTTCCTGTACCTTATTCCACATTTTGAACCATAATTCACCTTCCCCTTTGAAGCCTTCCAAATTGTAAAAACTTAAACAAGGTGAAGTTCTTTCTTTCCATTCTTCCAATGAAACATTTTTCATGTTATCCGGATGAAAATGGGTCAATGAAAATGCAGGCGATTTGTCTTCGGAAAATCGTACTTGCAGAGATACAATGATTGAATCTAAGTAAGGAATTATGAGAGATGTTTTCCAAAATTCACTTGCATTTTCGGCTGAAGGGTTGCTTCTGTGCTTTTGTCGGCCAGCAATACGAGCGATGGTTATATCAACATTCAGGGACTTCGCTATGTCGCTTGCTTCTCTTAAAACTTTGGCTGTTACGTTCTCTGCTTTTTCCCGATGATCTTTTAACATTTGAAGAATAGTTTGAATGTGCTTGTTGGCTTTGACTATATCAATTGTCTTCTTTTGAAGTATATTTGCTACAGGCTCCAGAACGGCTGAATACTTAGCAATTAATGTTACAGGCACAATAAACTGAGATATGCATGCCTCTGCGTGCATTTGGTATGCACTTTTTCTTGTGGCTGCATTTCCCTCCTCGGCTAATGTATCTAGTACGTCAACTATTTCAACAAAGTGTTCCTTAAAACACGAACGCTTTTATACTTTTCTGACCATCTGGTTTCACACAATTTGGGAATGTTAGCAATAAGTTTCGTTGGTACTTTCATCGAAAAAACGTAATCCAACAGAAAGCTGTTCCTTGCCAGATATATCTGCGGTTTCGTCAGCTAGAATGCTATAAGCATAAGCTTCTTTAACATTGAGACTATTTTTTCCCTAATTAAAGAGCTACATAAATCAATTATTTCGTTTTGTATGATGGTGATCAATAGAATGCGTTTTTTGGTCCGTGCTCAAAATGGTTTCTCAATTGTAAATCACCTGCTTCGATACATAAATGACATAAGTCTATAAGCACGCCTTCGTTTGCCCCTTAGAGGTAAGTCATGTGTTCCTCAAAAAATTATACAGGTTACAATTAAGGACAGAACTTTTCTGTTTTTCTCTATTAATTGTTGTGAAGACCGGTGTAGTTGGATGTGAACTGGAACGGCTTCCATTAACGATTTTGGTTATTCAATTGCAGCCTGGTGTCCTTGGGTCAATGCATGTGCTTTGCAATAATCGTGCACGTCCTTGTATCTAGTGAAGGGTCTGATAATGAAAGAACTCCAACCACCTCTCATCAGGCTAGCTGAGGGCGGAAACAGCACACAAAATTTACAAAAAACACCTTTGTGTCGCCTTGAGTAAGCTAACCATGGCGAATATGTGTCCAACCAGTGATGATTAAATTTCCTCTTGAGGTGTTCAGCATTAGCCGCAAAATCATAGTCTTTGGAAGGCATCCAGCAGTTTTTCAGTAGATATTTTCTCTTCTCAACGTGCATACGAATCTCCCAACATCATCTTTCTGACAAACGTTGTCTTTATTTCCAATTTCACTACTGTCTGGCACTATATTCTGAACGTTTGTAACTGTAGAAGAAGAAGGTCCGGCGCCCGCAGTCGCAATGTCAGTACCTTGAGTAGATTGTTGTTGAACTTGTACTTGCTCTTCTTCTCCTCATCGCTCTTGCTGCTGGTAGCGTTGGCACTTTTCTTTCGTTTTAAATTTACTAGAAAAAAACAATCTTTACGTAATATAAAATCGTAAACGCGTTGAGAAAGTTATACATGAGCTAAGCAGTGTGTTCGTGTTCGGTATGTAATATACTTTTTCTAAGGGCAGGGCACTCCAGTCAGTGGCCACTGTTAAAGATTTTGTAAAAAAAATAAAAATGATTGTTTTTTGAAAACAAGTGGAACTAGTATACGTCAGTGGCGGATTGTGGATTTTGGGTATACCGATATCTTAGTTAGTAGACTTAGGAACCACACCAAACTTATATGAGTTTATAATGATATTAAATAGACAAGTTCTGCGCAAGCAGAATTCAAATTGAAGTTTGCGAAAAAAAAAATTTCAGCGCGCCTCACCAGCCCCCTGCTACCCCTAATTAAGATTATTTAAATTAAAGTGGTGCAATTCATAATTTACTACATTTTATCGGCAAGTTTAAAAATTTATTTAAAAAATCTACAGATTTTACACCATTTTAAATTTTTATTATTCTCTTAACTAAAATTAAAAAAAAATGGTCATGGATTTTTAAAATAAATGAATTGCACAACTTTAATTTGAATAATCTTAATTAGGGGTGGTAGGGGGCTGGTGAGGCGCGCTGAAAAACCAACTTTTTTCGCAAACTTCAATTTAAATTCTGCTTGCGCAGATCTTGTCTATTTAATGTCAATATAAAGTCATATAAGTTTGGTGTGGGTCCCATGTCTACTAACTGAGATATCGGTATATCCAAAATCAACAATCCGCCACTGGTATGCGTTATAATCACGTGCATAAGTATAAGACCTCCAATCCGAGTAAAGTAAAACATACACAGTTAAACACAAATAATAGACAACGCAAGGTTTAGACGTGAAAGCAGTAAAATGATTGTTACGGATAAAAAGTACTTACCAAAAAATTTTCTTATATCCATTGATTTTGTTGTAATTAGGTCAGGTGGATGCCACGAATCAGATAAACAAAAACGTTACTTTACAAATTGCGTTGCACCGAGTTACACTTGAAACTTTAGGTACGATATAAAGTTAAGTAACAACTGCACAGAATCACAGATTGATTAATAAGCATGGAACAAAACCAAAACATAAGACAATGCAGTCAATTCACCGGGCGCATGCCCCACCCGCATTCCGGCATGGTATATTGGTAGCGTGCGGCAGCGGCGGGCCAAGAGAGTGAACGCCACAGTGGCGGCACAAAATAAAATCTTACAATGGGCAACGCTTTTTTCATTTTAAAGATTTTGATGAATTTGTGAAAGCTCTACAAAGGATCTCTAGCATCGTCTTATACGTTAAAAAATACCTAATTTAATTTTTTGAAAGAAAAAGTTGGACCAAAAGGGCCCCCCCCCTTGCCCCCCCCCTGGATACTCCCTTGCATTCCGATACAAATATCTATCGGTTTGAACAGGGTCTCTATGGGGTATTTTAAGCAGGGTTGTTCCGCCAGCATTATGGGTAAATTAACAGCTGTCAGTTTACTATTTATTTCTCTTATTTAGACTTCCATTTAATTCAATTCAATTTGACTTCCATTTAATTGTTCTTCCCGTATCAAATTACCTCCTTACACTCTCTTTTAATTCCATCCTTTCGTCGTCAAATTTCTGCCCCATCTTCTCTTCTAATTCATTGGCATTATCTAGAATCTGCAGATACAAATATACTTTTCAATTTTTAGAATTTTACAGAATTTTCTTTTGTAAATCGCTCCTATAAATCGTTGACATTTTCCAGATTCTTCTGTTGTAAATCAACTTTCAGATTGCTGAAATTCTCCAGCATTTTTTGTTCTAAATCGGCTTTTAAATCTTCTAGCATTTTCTGTGGCAAATCGTTAGAATTTTCCAGAATGTTTTGTTTTAAATTTTGCAACAATAAATGCATATCACACAGGCCTTCAAATAAATACTTATCTAGATTTTTACCCTCCTGTTCCAGAGCTTATCAAAGCCGCTGCTGCAACACATTCTTTTTTCCAGTTGTTTCAGATTCCCTTTCTTCCAGCTCTCGCTTGAAGTCCGCCAACCCTATTCCATTAACGAAACCATTTCCGCGCAAGTTTCACACTAATCCCACTTCTGACACCAATTGTAACGTTTTTGTGGTTCGACAGTGTGAATAAAACGCATTGGTTTATTAACAAACTAAACGATTTATTTTTTTAACTTATTTACAATAAAAACACTAAAAATCTATGAAACTAACTAATCACTTAACTACAAATTATTTATATATCACTATTGTACAAATGTCTATTTATTTATCCGTATATAAAATTTACATCGTCGCGAATACCAAAGCTTGACTAACCAAAGACAAGGGAGAGAGAGACGATAGGGATTTCGGTCAACAATTTAGATGCGCGGGGTTGCACACAGATTACAATGTAAATCGGTTTCTGCGCATTTGTTGGCAGCCCTGCACCGAAAAGTCGCAAGTATGTTGTTTACTGTCATTTACTGTAGTCTTGACAGTCTGGTATCAGTAAATACTAAAAGTGCTTCAGTGGTTTTGTTTATAAGTTTTATTTATAAGTTATTATACCTATACCCAGCTAGCACAAGTCTGTCCTAAGGATGTCCTAAGGAAAGCCTTACAGGATATTGGGATATCCCAAGGATATCCTAGGACGTCCTCAGACCTCCTCAGGACATCCCAACCATGTCCGAGTGGTGCAAAAAAGGACAGCCTACAGACGTCCCGCAAATGGCCTGAGGACATCCTCTGAATGGCCTTGTTATTTGTTGGGGATACATTTTATCAATCAAATACCATTTTATTACCTACTTTATAAAATATATTATTTTAATTCTGTATACATATATGTCAGAGATTAACGAGGGAAACTGAGGGTTAGGCTGCCTAGACATTTTAAAAGAATGCACGACACTGGTTTTTAATATAAAGTTATTTACTAAAACACGTAGTCAGATTAATCTGCACAGAACACAAAATTAATAATAATCGTCCCAAACTAATTATTAGCTATAAAAAGGAAACCAACGATCCGCGACCCGATAGATCAACAATAGTCAATCAAAAATCAATTCAGAGATTGAACTTGTCATAAGAAGAATCAAGAACACTCTGTTCCGGCCCGTTTCACTCGCAAGCTTATCTTGGCGGTTTCCATAAAAAACTAGGGGGCGTACCCTTAACACATTTTCTACATTTTAAAAACTACAACTATTTTGTCTAGAAAAATTCACATAAATTATATCAACCAAAATAAACGTATCGTATTAGTGTTAGACTTAATCATAAACACCCAATGCGAGGAAAATGACATTCTCCACATGCTTGGGACTTTTTGTTTAGCCTAAACATCGTCATACAAATCTTATCAACAAAAATAAACAAAAGGGTGAGAAAGAATCATGAGCGTACACCAATAATTATTATTAATTATAATTAATAAAGGCGCCGACATATATATAATTTTACACAGCCAATTAGGGTAATGACACTAGTAATTGCCATTATAAGCTAGTGTTTACACAAAATAGCTAAAAAAGTACCAGAAGAAATTTCGTCTTAATAAAAAGCCATGTGGTTAATAAATACTTATAGAATGTCACTAAATTACCAAATTAAAGACATCACTAAGTACAATATATATTTTTTTATTGAGGTACAGAAGACTAGTAATTGACATGACCATTTTTAAAAAAACCAGTAGTTGCCAGTGTACCTGGCCAGTAATTGCCACTAATTTATTTTATTAAATAAAACAAAAAAATGGAAAATGGCATACCACCTTGGCAAGCAGCAAATGCAGATTCTTTGCTTTCTTGGAAATAGCGAAAAAAGGGCTTGTTTTTTGGTTCCATGTTGATCAATTTGGATTTTATACCTGGATCAATAATTGCCACTAAAGTGAACCAGTAATTGACACATTCAAAAACAGGTGAAAATTACTGGATTCTCTTTAAATATAATGTTCTTATTAATGTCAAGGATAAACTAAATATGATAGGTTAGTTAAGAGCTTTAATAGGTCATAATACGATAATCCAAAATTCTCCAGTAGGTATAATTATAATTACCACAAATGGCAAATATTGGGTTAAAAGAAAAAAAATGCTCCAGTAATTGCCACTACTCTAAATCAAAATACTCTTTTAATTTAACGAAAAATTTATATGCGTTCCATTTAAACTACTTAGCATATATGCCTATTGCACAAACAAAACTCAAATTGATTTAAAACATATGCCAATATCACGAAAAACTAATCTTACACTTTCTTAACCAAAGTCACAAGAAATCTTTTATAAACAGCTGATTCAACAAGTTGCCTGAATATTTTTTTCCTGTTGTAAAATGCGCCACCTGGTGACAGTTGCTCTAAATACATAAAACACTAGATACACTTCCTTACACATAGGGAGTGCGCCATTTTCTAATTTCTAAACAATAAATGGCAACTACTGGTACAGTTGCACCGGCACCGATAGACGGTCTGTTTCGCTCTTTTGGAGCTCGTCAGTATCGGGTAGCCGTTTACCTAGGTCTAAGACCGTTTGGTATGGAGGCTCCATAACATTTAGAGCGTGCTCCATAATGGAGCACGCTCTAAATTCTACTACGCCGCTTCTTATATCAAACACAAGCAGTTACAGCGGTGAGAAGAAAGTAATCGCATTAATATGTCATAAATGTGACGTCTCCATGTTGACGTTAAAGAGTTAATAATATGATTTCAGTAAGAATTAAGAAAAGAGAATACTGTAAGATATCATATAACTGAAGTCTTATTTATAATACGCTTAGTAGCTTCTAATTTTGATTCCAATAAGAGGTCAGAAAAAAAGATACTTTAAGATGTTAAAAAAATTGACTTCTCATTTATGAATTTACCAAGAACTCTTAATCTTGAGCTCCTAAAAATGATGTTTTTCAACAGACTACGTACAGAAATCTTTCTAAATTGGATGCTGTCTGGGTATGGTTTCCCAGTGTCGTGTTAATTTCTTCAGTTGTT